CAAGGCAAATGCAAAGAAGCAGACTCTCAATCAATTTCTAAATCTAACTTTGCTGTCTGTTTCCTATGCGATGATGTCCTACAGTTACAGGTACTGCAGCCACGGCCGGTGTGATCAAGACAACAACACACTTGTGTGAGTACACACAGCATCCACAGAACAGGCAACAGGTAAGTAGAAAGCCAGCACAGCAATACAATCAATGGTTAGCTCCTACTGTACCATCTGCGGAGGCAATGCAATCATCAACAACAAGTGCACACTCATACTCTCAGCAGCCTGTGCGCATGCCACGTGTCACCCCTGGCATGCCAACGCAGCAGTACTGCCACGTCAGCATCAAGGACCGGAACAGTCTACAGGGAGGGATGCCACATTGCAATGCAAGTCTGCAAAACACTCAACACGGGTATGCCACTTCAAATGCAGCATCAACAGGCAACAACGACACAGGTATGTGCCACATCAGACCATGCCCTGCATTCCATCACATGACACATCAGCGGTACCAGTGCCACGTCAGCCTGTTGCCAACGAAGCTCTCGTCGGTGTAGATCTTCAATGCCGACTCGTCATCATCTTCAAGGGACAGTTACTCGCACGTGCAATACAACCATGTCTAGACTTGCGGTATGACCGCGCGCTGTAATAAACACGTTTTGTTTTGCACATGCGGCACTTCCCACTTACCTGGGTGCCACGTCAGCACCTGACAGCAGACAGCAGATTGCGATGAAGAGGTTGCTCCGATACCAAATTGCAAGGAACCCAGTCTGGCAGATACTCAGAAGTCGTCAAACATCAGTAGTCCAAACATCTGCATCAAAGTCTCCAAATCGTGAAATGATAACTTAAACAGTATCTCATTACCATCAAAAGAAAGAGAGAGGAGCGGGAACACACAAAGGAGAAGATGAGAGATCACACAGTAATAATCCCTTTGGATCCCTCTCCTTCTCCGGGCTGCTCCCCTCTCCACGTTAACAATGATAATAAGTATATTCCTGATCACACACAATAGTGCCACATGGCACTTGATCTCGTGAAGACCGTGAAGATATAACAGATTCCAGTGACGACGTCAACCTCAGGTGAGTACCCGACCTCCTTCATCCACAGATCCCGACCTTCCTCTTCCTCACAACCAGTCACCTCATGTAGACAGCGTGGACAGTGCCATGTCAGCAGTCGCGATAGGTGGCATATGCCACATGATCAATGAAGACCAGTGGCAACGCCACATCAGCATGCACTGTAAACCAGAGGCAGCACTACTTCAGCATGCAATGTAGACTAGAGGTAGCGCCACATCAGCATGCCATGAAGTCCAGAGGCAGCGCCACATCAGCATACCATGAAGACCAGAGGCAGCGCCACATCAGCATGCCATGAAGACCAGAGGCATTGCCACATTAGCATTGCCTGGCGCACAGAAGAAACGCCAGCATGCTGCCTCCACCTTACACTGTCGTCCGCGACGCCTATGCACAGCCAGCGTGTAGCAAGCGTCGCGCCAGCATGAAGCCAGCGTTTAGTCAAAGTCGAGCCAGCGTCAAAACAGCATAGCAAGACTGAATGCTTGACTCACTCGAGGCCAGCCTTAAGTAGCGATGGTCGAGGTTGTCCGGCCTCGGGTGCTTTTCCCACAGTCGTTCAGATTGACTTCCAACTGAAGGCCCAAATTGTGCAGTTGCAGACTTCTCCCTTGGACCTGATGCTGTCTGGGTACCTGCATACAAACAAGTGTGTGTGCTTGACCAGCGGCCTGGGCTAGGTACCTTTGGACTTTGACTGTTGGGATCCGGACAGTTGACCAAAGTGAACTGCTGCACGTCCAGGCCCTGAGTCCTCGTGTGGGGTCTTTTGCCCCTGTTTCGGCCTGGGCTGAGGGCGGCCAAGTAGGGCCTCAGATGACCGTCAGCTTCCACGAGACATATGGCATGGGCCAAGTAGGCCCTCAGATGATCTTCTCTTGTGGTCAAGTGGATGTCTTTGCCTGCTGTCGCTTCCACCTGGGTTAGGCCGGTTGGATTCTTTTGTTCTCTCCCTTTAGCTCTCTTTACTTTCTTGCTCGGGCGGATGTTGTCGGTTTTTGTGTACACCTTTGGCCATTGGAATGAATTCAGTGTGGTTGCCAACTGCCCCCTTGCTCGGTCCAGTCTCCGTCCGTAACGTTCTGCAAAGAAATCGGACAATTCCTGTTCCTTTTCCAGTTTTTCATACTGGTTTTGGGTTGGATTTGGCTGATGGGGTCGGCTTGATTGAAGATAAAGTTTTGCAGATTGAGGAGGTGCCTTTTGTGTGCCACTCGCACTTCAAATTCGACTTCATATTCAACTTACCCTAAAAAGATCAGATTTCCGCTTTTTATCTCTTTTTCTCAAATAGAACGCCCCTTCGGATAGAACGCCCGGGCTTTATATTTGTATGTTCCATGGGCAGAGTGCCTTGTAGAGGTAGTATACATTGGTTCGAAAGGGCAAGGAGGGGGGTATGCATGGGTTTTAAAGGGGGTTGAAAGGGGTTTTGGGAACTTTTGACTTTCAACTTCAAGGGGCATATTTCGGTTTGATTTTTTGTTTTTTATTTTTCATTTCCGAGTTTATAAGGAATTCTGTAGTGACCCTCAGCCAAAAGATGGTCACATTGCAATTCTGGACAAAGTATTTCTTTTACAAAAGTTTTGAATTTTTTTTTTTTCCTGGGCCCCCACCGAAGCTGCCACCAATTTACTGAATATAATGTCCGGGCGTTGTAAACGAATATATATTCATATACAACGCCCTGGCGTTGTTTTCGGGTGAAGACGGTAGCCTGTCCCACGCCAGCGTAATCATATTTACTCTGGAAACAACAATGACGATCTCCTTAAACAGAATTGAGTCCCCAACCTCAGTTGTGATGAACAACAGCTGATAAGTATCAGTTAAACTTTTCTTCCCATAAACCTTGGCCTATACCTCACATCCCTCCCTCATGCTCACTCTCTCTCGCTCTAGTAGCAATGGTTTAGCAGCACCTCCACCTACCTAGCTATGGAATCCAGTGCCAGTGCCTCCTTGTCTCTCCCTATCCAGTGATAACGTTTGTACAATCAGCAATGCTCCAGCCTCAACACACCAGGCAAAATGTGTCACGAATGGAGTGGAGGGCAGCTTGCCTGCCTCCCTTGGTGCGAATAGAGGGCTGAGATTGGTTCATCTGCATGACTGAGATGCAACGATGCTCAAAGGCTACTTGGACCCAACAGGCCTTGGATGCATCTGGAAAGTGTCTTATTGGCCGCCTGACCTGACGGTTGGTTGCCTTTAATTCAAAACATCTAAATCTATATGGCATGGAAATTGATCTTTAAAAAAAAAAAAAAAAAAAAAAAAAAAAAAAAAAAAAAAAAAAAAACGAACGACTTGTTCACACTATCAGAAATTCA